TCCTACAATGTGAAATTCTTATAAAGTGGAACATATCTACTGCATTATAGGGGGTTGACTGTATATAGTATATACAGTAAAAACTATCTATAATAGAATCCCAGAGGACTGAGCAATTCTTCTTTAGTAGATAAGTTTTCACTATATAGGTTACCTACAACAGGTATCCCTTGATTAATGTGATTAATTAATCCCTCAATGCTACCATGTATATATGTATATCAAAATCGCATTAATCAAATACAGTCAGTACTCAACCAAACAATTACCACTCACTAGAATAAATTTTTGGTTAATAACAAATATTTTTAATATGAAATCTTAGAGTTGCCTACCTTCATTGGACAAAATTATGCTTGATTCAGTTTGTTTTTTAACTTAATGCGTATGGAACACAATCATCATGTTTTACAACTATTTAAGTTGAATGAAGTGTTTTAACAATGTGTCTGTGATACACTATTTGTTTCAAGTTCACAAGTTAACAATTTCTTTTCACAATTTCTCTTTATCAACAGTGGTCCATACGTTTTGTATCCTTTGGTTCAAAATTTCCTGAATGAAACTTTCAATACATATTTGACATGTTAGAAGTTTAGGAGCATCTTCCCTATACATACTGAGTATTTTTTACTGTTTGTATAGCATTATATACTTTATAAAACTTAGAATGTAGATCAGGCATATTATGCTTTTTATCTGCAGATATTTTTACTTGATTTTATTCAGACAAACTGAATTGTGATGAAAAAAAGCTTCTAAATGAAGAATACAATCTCATATTAGCAATATTGTGTTAAATTGCACAACTGTTATAATTAAATCACATTTAAGTTTAAACAGCTGTTAAAAATACACAAAAATTTTGTGTTGAGCATGGAAGAGGATATCTTTTTCATTATACAGCTTGATTTTCTTTTCTGTTTCCACATCAGACAGGTTCCACTGTATACAATGCGTGCCGTAGAACTTCCACAGGAGAAAAACAAAAAATAAAAGAGAGAGAGAGTAAAGAATTATTTAGCTGTCAACATTACGAGCCTTCGAGAAAACCTTGTAAGCGATTGTAAGTTATCCTTGTTTATTCCTAGTTATCTTAGGATACCCATTTTGTATTATTTCTGAGAAAGAGAGCAGATCGTGAAATTTAAATATTGTATGGAAAGAAAAAAAAAACGAATTGTTGGAAAAATTAATGAGAAGTAATTGTACCGCATTATGAAAAAAATTTTTTGTCAGAAGTTGTTGATTATATTGATAACATTGATGTCGTAAAGAAAAAAAAGTCTTTGATTACACGCGATAATAACCGCATTTTGTTGATTTTATGTAAACCTCAAGAGACAAAGAGAGAGAGAGAAAAAAACAAATCTTTTATTGTAAATTGCTACAGCCTTAGAAATAAGAACAGTGAAAATCGAACTTGCTCACTCAGAACAAGCATGATTTTGAAAAGGCCGGGGTGACGTGAGGGACGAAGAGACCTCAATAAAGTGTTATTTTAGATTTTAATTATTTTGGAATTCAATCATTTAACTTTGATTATTTTATCAAAAGTTAGGCTAAAATCCATAAAAATTGTTTTCCATGGATTTGGTTCCTTGTTGAGGATGATCCATCTAGTCATTATTGTGTTACCCAGAACTTTCGATAAATATCCAGTATTGGACACCAGGCCCTTAACAACAGACTCCTGGCCTCATGGAAAAACCCAGAAGGAAACCAAAAATAACAAAGGAGAGTGATGACAAATCAAGTCAGTCATCATCCTCCAAGGTTTGTCCACAAAAGTTGCCTCCAAAGTGAGCTAAAATACTGTGCCTCTGTTGATATCAACATACGGATACCTATCATGCCCTAGTTCTTGATTTATTCTACCCGTCAGATACCTCCCTGCGAAGACCTGTTACCGAAACAATTCGAATATAAAGACCCTTCAACCACCTGAAGAATTCACCGAACACCCGAAGAATCCCGTGTTTGAGTCATCAAGTCATCCATCCTCAACTTCTTTATAAGGTATTTATCCACACATGAGTCATTTGTAAACTCTCTCTCTTGTATATATCATGTACTCCTGCCCGCTAAAATAAATTTGTTATTGTTTATTAATATGGAATCTGAGTGAATCACTTCCTCGTTTCTCTCTCCTCACCTCTACTCCGAATCCAACCACCTACCCACGACCACTCGCGTGACGTAAAGTCGCAATTTCCAAGTCCTGCGAGACTCGGTGGTGTCACATCCTGATGTGATATCGAAGAGACACCGACTCTACGGTCACAGTATACAGGTTAATTTACATTGATTTCTGCAGAAAATTCAAGGGACCAAAGAAATCTTCCCTTAATGAGAGTTTTTTCACTATATACAGGTTCCATTAAAAGCAAATTTGATTGTATATACTTCTTACATATAGACTAGATAGATATCAAAGTAATAATTATTTCATAAATTTCTGTATCTACATAATAAAATAAGCCAAACAACTACAGGATAACATTTTCTGTGATTATGTTTAATTAATTTCTAAATAATTCTTCCTAGAGAGAGACGTTAGGCACCATCTAAATATTCATCCAGAATATTTAGATGGTGCCTAATGTCTCATTGGAATATTCATCCAGAATATTCTAAATAATTTAGAATATTCTGGAAGAAAAGAATCACCCAGAGTGGGACTTGAACCCATAACTCTCGCTTACCGTGCAGATGCATTGCCAGTTACTTCTAAATTATTTAATTTAATTATAATTATTAAATTTAATAAAAGATGGCACCTAATACCTCTATCTAGGACAAATTATTTAGAAATTAATTAAATATAATCACAGAAAAGTAGCCTGATGTTATCTGGTAGTTGTTTGGTTTATTACAAATATATTGGGTTTAGAGATGTTTGTATACTGGTATCTACTGTACATATATATTAAATTTTGTTATTTTGAAACATAAATACTGTTAGACTGTTTGTGTAGTAGATCATCATATTAAAGGAAATTCTTCAGAAATTTAACAAGTTAAGAAAAAATATGTAAGTACAGGTATACCTCGACTTACGTTGTTTCAGGTTACATCGTTCCCGATTATACGTCCTTTGTCAAAAAAGTATATGGAAAAATAAAAATCAAGTTTAAGTCATTTTATTTGACTTTACGTCTGTCCATCACAAATATTGAAGTCGTAATATCACTAGAAAAGTGTTTAAAGCACATAAAATCATATTAAAATATATACTAGTATGTTCTGTATTTACAGTACATGCATTCGTAAATTTAGATTATTTTTTTCTGTACTATATTAAAAACTAAAATTTATTTGTTTGTAAGCTTAAAATAGATTCTTATTAACCATATATTATTAAAAATGCATTAATAAATAAAATACAGAACTGGAAATGGTATTTCATGGTTTAGCCTAGTGACAAGTAGATTTGGAGACAAGTAAATTCTACTTATGTCGCCTCTCCTGGAACCAATTACCGACATAAGGCGAGGGATACCTGTATACATTGAACTCTTGATATAATTAATTTTCAGTATAGTGAACTAATAGTAAGGACCAACAAATGATGTAATTTGTTTGTTGGTCCTTACTATTATTTATGTTTAAGTGATATTTTGATATAGTGAATTATTTAGCTTAGTCATTTAAAAGTCCACTATATACAGTTATATCTTGTATAACACAGTAGTTATGTTCCAAAAAAATGCCAAATGTTATGTGAATCCATGCTCTATGAAACAAAAGACTAATGGAAAACATAGGGTTAGGTTCCAAAAGTACAGTGTACTATTCTTTTTTTGTTACTAAAAGAAATTTGTTTATTAAAGCAATCAAATAATTTATTTCCAAACAAAAATTTACTAACAATTACAATTAAAAGTACTGTATTATGCATTAATATTCATTTTAGTTAAATGAGATTGTCAAAGTATAAAGTATTGTCATCTGCAATTTTTATGTTAATCGTGATCAGAAATATCAGCAAAATCTTCATTTTTATCATAAAAATTTTTTTATAGCTGACAAAATAAAAATAAAATTATATTATTAATTGAAAATTTGTTCTAATGGGTCATGTTTGTTCAGTCAAGTACTGAGCTATTTTTTGCTGAATTTGTGTTCAAATACTGAATTGTTCAAGTTGGAAACAGCTCAAGTACCGAGATACTGCTGTATTTTGTTTGTCATTTTTATGAATGGTTACTTACCTAAAGTTAAAAGATGTTTAAATAAGATTTATTAAACACAAAGATTAATTAATAAAAACAAATCCAGTAACAGCCTTAAAGGCTGAAGTCTTAAAGCAACGACAATGACACCTAGTTGATAGGAAAGCAGGAAGAGGGAAATTATCAATTTTCATTAAGTAAACCTGATGAAAGACAAAAGAAATTGAAATTTTCAATATTCTAAAATCTAAGAGCAAATTTGAGACAACACGCATGTTACTTGAATAAAAATATATCGAAAAACAGAATTTGCTTGTAAAAAGTGTGAAATTTTGTACACGGACTTTTCCTAATTATCGAATTGTGTTGTACGAGTCTGCTGTATATACAATACAGCAGAGCCGTGCCATATGCAACCAATATGTTACAAAAACCATTACATAAAAAGATGCATACCAAAAAAGCTTCCAGAGGGCTGCATGCATTTTTTTATGGAGTTGCAGGTTTTAACTCTGCTGAGTACATAAACTCTATAACCACCAGTACACCAGGTGTTAAAATAATATATGTTAATATGAAAATGATTTTACTATAAAAAATTAAATGTATTGTGTAACATTTATCTGGTGTAGTTTAAAGATTAAAAAAAAATATCTGTTTAAGAAGAAATTTTTTCAAAGTGGAAAAATTGATTTGGTATTGTTTGATTCTAGTCTACACAGTAGGTTTTACTGCATGTAGTTATTCATGATATATACTATAATTTTGTAATTTTTTGAAAAATATAAATTGGAAAAATTTTAATTATTTTTATATTAAATATAGTATGAAGAAAGCGATGAAGTCAAGTATTTGAAATCACTCTTAATTATTCCTGACTCAGTCAGCTGTCAAGAAGAGTAAGATGGATTTTTATATTATTTGTAAAATATATCATCACAACATTACAATTCTTTTGTATGTAAATTTAGAAAGTTTGTGTGATGATTAATATATTATCCAAATATAAATATGCAAACTATTCTGTTAAATTACTGGTTTTTCTATTAATATACTCATTTATTTTAGATATTATATTTAAAAAATAACACTATATCAAATTAAATACTAAAAATAAAAAATATTCTTAGTTTTAAAAACAAGTAAAAAATACTCTGACTTCTTCCAACTTCCTCGAAGTTGTAAGAAGTCAGAGTATTTTTTACTTGTTTTTAAAACTAATAATATTTTTTTATTTTTATTATTTATTAATTATACTGATCCCATTATTTTTAATTATTGAATTTATATAACTATATCAAATTATTTATGTCTGTTTGAAAAAATTTTTATGTCAGCCAGACTAAATTTATTTTAAATGTTATTTAAATTACAATTGAATATCTTTTGTATAAAATCAAATTGAAAATGTTTGATAATTGATATTAATAATATCAGGTAACTTATTTCTGTTAATATCCTGATTGTTTTACTATGTTCATTATTTTCCACAGAAATTAATTTTATTCTAAATTTATTTGTATTAGGTCAGAAAATATGGAGGAAAATTCAACAACTAATAGCTTTACAGATTTTGAGCAGGAAACATCTGAACATGTTAAAAGTTCTAATGTGAATGAAGAACTAGACAGGTAAGCTATCCTCATAATTATAGAAAAATTCAAATTCAAAAATCCATACAATATATGAGACGTTACTGAATTTTCACAAAAACATTTATATTACGAGTAAAACGTATGTACAGTTATAAAAGTTCACAAACAACAATTACAAAACATCAGGTGTAACAAAGTTCAAATACTTTTAATCCACGACAACAGGTCCGTCGAAAAGGACACCTTGCGACGAACCCCTTCCAACGTTAGTTACCGCACAGCGAGATGAAACAATCCTCTAGGTCAGCTTAGGCGAAGCTAGACAAACGTGAGTTCCCATGATGTATCCTAGGCGAACTAAACTTCCTGCCGAAACTCAATTCTTTTATACGATTGAAGGAAATGGAATTCCACCAATCAGCGCTTAGTAGCGCTATTGGACGTCCGCTGGTCATACGATGTCTTCCAGCCAATCCGCGGTCGAGTTTCCAAAGTCGCCAGATCGGCGTTCCCATGGTGACAACCGTTGTTCATTTGAAAATATGGAAAATGCGGGAATCGTATGTTGGACGATTTTACCCTGACACTCATAATTATAAAAATCCTCAGTAAATATTATAAGTTCCTCAGATTTGTTTATCTCCACATGTGTTAAGGCAAGAACTTTACTTTTATATGTTCTGGTCATATTATTTCGAAATTTGTCTGTTTAAGCTTGATATCTAGAATTATTCTAATTTTTGAGTAAAATTTAGACTTTTTATATGAAGCTTCATAAAAACGCCTAAGTTATGTTTATAAATACATACATTCTGGGGCAGATCTACGTACAGACTAATAGGGCTTAAGCCCTGGGCCCACAAAAATTGAATTATCATAAATTTTTTATACTTTTTCATTAATAATGAACACTTATCATATAGTAAAAAAAATAGTTAATATTAATAATATAATAATAATGATAATTTATAGTATTATTTGTTTTATTGTAATCAATGTAACATAATTGGTTGGTCACCAATGAATTTTAATCCCCAATTTAAAGATTCTTAATCTAACAGAACATGGGGCCTCATTGGACTTCAATAAACCCTAAGCCCCAAAAAACCTAGATCCATCCCTGTGTACATTATTAGACGTATATATTGGCATTTCAAGTTTATTACATGGTGACATCAACTCAAAACATGTTAGAAAATGCAGCAATGTATTCTAGCATATGTAAATATGTGAACACCTGCCTAAAAGCATTTTAGAACTTGTTTTTACCTAAAATTTCTTCATTTATGATTTGCCATCAGTTTACAGTCAGTAGTGGTTGAATAATCGCATTTAAATATTTAAGTCGGGTGAACTTGAAAGATTAGCCAATGAAGATTTTAACAATATTCCTGAAGAACTCGAAATATCAGAAGATGAATATGGATTACTAAAAGACGTTAGTGAACCTGATGGTCATGAATTATCAAATTTGTCTACACATACTGACAGTGAATTATAAGATGGAAGCAGTGCAAGTGCTAATTCTGAAATAATTGTGACCAGAGATTGAACACAGTGGTCAAGACAAATACTTGCTGTAACAAGTATTTGTCTTGACCACTGTGTTCAATCTCTGGTCACAATTATTTCAGAATTAGCACTTGCACTGCTTCCATCTTATAATTCACTGTCAGTATGTGAGACGTCTTGCTGTAACAAGACATCTCACCAGAAATATATTGAAAAAGAAATCTGGTCTTACAAGTATTTTATTTCATTTCATTTCATTTCCTAGTGTAAAATATTTTTCTTATGTATTATGAAATGTGTGTAGAGCTAATTATTGTATTTTATTTCATATTATAAGTAAATTAGAACTTTTACAGTCATTTACAGACTTTTACAGGTGAAATTTTGAGCCATGGCATCCATGTCTCAAAATTTCACCTGGTCATTAGAAGATTAAGTACTCTAGATTTTTTACACTTATATGTTAACTATGACAGTGTGAAATTGAAATTTGTGTTAATCATAGTACTTGATATATGAGTTTTTGTTTTAGATATGAAACTTCTATATTAACAAAAGGAAATGCTTAGCAAACATACAGTAGACAGTAAAATAATGTAAATTTTAGAAATTTGATTACCCTAGAACTTCACTATGATAAATGTCTCAAAGATTGAAAAACTTCATTATTTAACAGCTTGATATATTATGCAAATTACAATGGAATCCCATTATAATGAATCTTCTAATAACAAACTTTTAGATTTTTCCTGACCCAACCTCCATAGCAATCACAACAAAATGTTTCAGTTGTATCAGTGTTAGTGCGAGTTTTTTATATCAGTTATAAAGTAGTAGAATTCTTGCAATTTTCACTTTATTATAACAATTTTATAATTGTTATAATAAAGTGAAAATTACACTTCTTTTCCTCCTCTTCACTACTAGTGTCTTCCAACTGGTAAATAGCTGTACCCAAGGGAGAGAGACATGCTTGGAAGTCACTAATGTTTTGCAGATATACTAACATCAACAAGAACCACAAGTTATGGTAGACATAGTGTAAGGCTAGCCATTTAGTACTTTCTTAATTTTGTTATTTATCTTACTCTAACATCTTAAGTGAAGAATAAGAATGCAGCAAGGATCATCCATACATCACAAATCTCTTCCTTTTCAGTCCTTTCTGATACAGGAAACTATTCTTCCTACACTAAAGTCAATTTAATTCAAGCTACTTTATTTACATGAAATGTATAATGTGTGAATTATTTGTTTTATATGATGACTTTGTATTTAGCTATTTAACTTGCTTGATGGTAATTCATTCACATTTTTTATTATAACAAAATGTTTTTGGGAGTCCTCTCAGATTCATTATAATGAGATTTCACTGTTTAAATTTGGTTATTTCCATTATTGGTGCTATACTATCTTATAAGGTCTCATGAGCATCTTGCATCGGGTTCCTTAACCCGGCGTTTGGTTCATCCCACAGCGCCAGTTCTGCTTACCAAAAGTGGCCCACTGGGCACTCACATCCCGAGAATCGTCCGGGCTTCAGTCGGGTAAACCGGACTTCTCACCCATTGAAAGTTTGAGAATAGGTTGAGGTCGTTTCGGCCCCAAGGCCTCTAATCATTCACTTTACCAGATGAGACTGATTCCGATCGAGCACCAGCTATCCTGAGGGAAACTTCGGAGGGAACCAACTACTAGACAGTTCGATTAGTCTTTCACCCCTATACCAAGGTCTGACAATCGATTTGCACGTCAGAATCGCTGCGGACCTCCACCAGAGTTTCCTCTGGCCTCGTCCTGCCCAGGCATAGTTCTCCATCTTTCGGGTTCCAACGTGTATGCTCTCGCTCCGTCCCACCGATGTGGCGGACAGGACGGGCCGGGCCGTTGGTGCGCTCGGGACTCGCGGCCTTGGGATCCCAACGCAGACACCAACTGGGGCGTCCTTCACTTTCATTGCGCCTCTGGGCCTGAACAAGACCCAATGACTTGCGCACATGTTAGACTCCTTGGTCCACTATTTCTCTTACAAGTTGATTGTAAAATATGCAAAAGTAATAAATATAAAAATAAAATTCCAGTTGCAGTTAAATTTTATCATCAAGTAATGAGAAAGAAGTTACAAAAAACAAAATGAAAAGATATTTTTATTTTCAAACAATTATAATTAACATGTTATAGATCTTAAAATATACTTAATTTGTTAGATATTGCAGACCAAAAATGCAATATACTGAGTAACAGTTATTTAAAATTTTTCATCTAATCAAAAAATGTTCATTATTTTTCCAATTTATATTCCGTTTTAATGTTAATTATATTTGATGCTAGATAGATAAATGTTTTCATTCCAACTATTAACATTTCAGATTTATTTCTTAAAAAATTTTTTAAATCGCTTTCAAGTAGTGAATTAAGTGATGCTGTTAACTTATGTTAATAGGCAAAAATGATTCATTAATTCCTATATTATAAAATTAATTTAACATATTTATTTGGCAATAGTGCAATGTAGTGTCTTTCCAAGTAATTTTCAAAAATCAGTGATAGATCAATAAGTCTTTTTGATTGATTACCAATTAATCAGCATCTTTGAAAGGAACTCTATTACTGATATTGATTAGTTAAACATAATGAAATTGTGTAAAACACAAGTAAAATATTCAATCTAAGTTATGGAGGATATGTTATAACAGAAAAAATTGTTCAACTGTTTCTGTTTATAACCCAATATGATACAATATTTTGTTTTCTAGTTTTTGTATATAAACATTACATGTACAGTATAGTACATATATGTAGTGTTTCTCTTCAATACTTGAAAAAATCTTCTTTTAATTTTTGATACATTTGCATTATTACTTATTAAACAAATTTAAAGGCTACATTTTTTATATATTTATTTATTTGTAAGAACAAAGTACCAAAAATCAAATAATTTTAAACTTAATATTTGAAATCTAGTAAAGTGTACATTGCTGTCAGATATTTTTTCAACAAATTCATTTGTTAATTATCTGGCAGCATGTAGTACTTTTTCCTTCATACAAATTTTGTGTTGTTTTGAACCATACAGTTGTTGTCTATGCTGCTTGGTGGTACTGAATGGAAACACTGCAAGTTCCAAAATATGAAGATAAATACCTGTGATTTTTCATTATTATTGTGGAATCTTTCTGAATTCTATGTCAATTAGCAGGATAAGCATTTGATAAGTAGTTTGTAGTCTGTTTCATTGTCAACAGCAGTAAGTTTATCTAAATACTTTTTATTCAGCACTTATGTGAATATTTGCAGGAAGGTTTCACAGCTTGCTAAAGCCTCTTAACTTCAGCAGTCTGTGGAGTTTGTGATGAGTTTTTTTTAAAATTACATTTCAGTTGTTTTTGCAAATGCCATATTACACATTCAGTAGCAAATCCTTAGACTGCACTTTCATCAATTTCTCACAGTTCATTTTGTATCAGGAATCTAAGAAAGTTGACAAAATATAAATTTTGCCATTCTTACATGCAAGAAAACAACTATTTTCAGACTCTTGCAAGACTGTTTCTTCATATTAGCCACTTCAGTTAAATCATTCAAAATGTCAAGCTTTTTTTAAAAAAATGTAATGTAATTGTAATTAATACTGTAACAAATTGTTTGTTATTTTACTGTTATAGTATTATATCTTATTTACATATTTTTAATGCCAATATTCAAAATTATCAAATTTACAATTTAAATTTTCAGACAATTCAAAATTTTTTTTGCAGTTCCTCAATTTTGGTATTTATATAATATATATATGCATATGTGTGTATTTGCGTGTGCATGCACGTGTGTGTCATTCTAAATATATTTATTTACATTTAATTTTTCCTTATAACAGTGATGATGATTTAGAACCATATGATCTTGAGGTTGGCGAAAAGCAAGAAAAATATCCTATCTATATTCACGAATGTCTGGAAGGTTTGATGACTGACAAGAAACCAGAATGGTCACAGACTTGCTTACAATATGCAGAAAATTTGATACGTCAAGTGCCCGATAATTTGGAAGAAGTAATATTTTCTATATTTTGATATTTCATTTTGTAGTATGGCCATATACAAAAATTTCTAAATGTACATATTCCATTTAGGTTGCTATTGATTTCTGCAAAATATTGCTACATCTAGAAGATACTTTTGCAAGTCCCAACTTTGCCAAATATAGGAATGCTGCTCTTGTTGCTCTCTGTGTTCAATGTCCATCAATAGTAAATATTTTAATATACTTAATTGAAGAACTGTATCTTTTTAATTTTAATCAAATTATTTTGTAATATAGATAGCAAGTTTTTTATCTGAGGAGTTTTATAACAGAAATTATAATATTCGTCAAAGATTAGACATATTACAAGTAAGTAAAAATAATTACTGGAATTTTTTAGCACAAAAATAAAAAAAAATATGCCATTGATTCTAAGATGCATTATAATAAAATTTATTGTAATGCAAGAGTAGATTTCAAAATTAAGAAAAAATATTAATAGAGAGGAAAGTTATTTTGAGTAACAGAAGTTTTCTTAAAATCCATTCACAAGACAGTTTTTGATGCAATATTAAAAAGATGTTTGCAGTTTAAATTAAATGCTCATTATAATTGGTACTTGTGGTTTACTTGTAATGAGTGCTAACTGTTGTTTTGGAATGCAAATGTAAGATGCCACTGATTGTAAAACATCACTGTTTGAATAAGCTAAAAGGAATAAAATAATGCATCTTTGATTACTGGAAATAAGATGTATATGTAAGCTGAATTAAGCCAGGTAAGAGCTTTGTACTTGGCTTAATAGAGTTAATAAAAACACTTTCATTTTAACAGTTAAAATGTATCCTGGTATTTAATTGTATATAAAAGCTAAAGTGAAAAAGAAATGCTTGCAGAGACAGCTAGATAGTGATAAAAGTGAGCCTGTTGCTTTGGGGGACTTAAATTCTTGTCTAAATCCATCCTTAGAATTTTTATAAATGGAGTCAAATATTATGGAAATAGAAAATACTCTCCTTAGCATAATGCTCTTAAGTTTTGTGAACTGAAACTTTTAATTTATTTTCATTTGGTTGAAAATTTGATTTTAATATGCTCAATTAAAAATTCTCCTTTTCTGTACAATTAATTTGTCCTTTCTTCTTAATGTCTGCTTAAAAATAACATTTAGCTCAAGGTACAACCAGACAATGAACAGTATGCTAAAAACTGAACATCTGGCTACTCTAAATGGATCTATTTTAATTTGCTGTATTAACAAACCATTTGAAGCTATAACAACAATGTTATTAAGTATCAAGATAAATAGTTTGTTGTATATTTTGATATGTATGATATTGTCTTGTAACATACTGTAATTTTTTAACAGTCTAAGATGACAATTTAACATTGTGCCTAAGCTTAGGCTTGATATCATCATGTCACTTTTAGTAATGGTGTTCAAACTTCAACTTCCACTAATTTTGAACCAGTAGAAGCCTGTTTGACTTGATAATAGTGCCAATAATACCCAAGAGTCAGCTTGAACCAGTGTTGAATTATTGGACATATTGAACTAGCAACTGGCCAGATTACTGTAATAATAACAATAATAATAATCAAACATATACTTCTATATAGTATATTTTGCTTTCTTAAGATTAACTGATCAAAAATTTTATTAATAATTGTAAATCATCAGCTTTTTCAAAATAAAATGGGTAATTTTAATTTCTACTTTGTAATATATCTTTAATATGTTAATATTGTTAAAAAAGTTTATTGAGAAAAAATTTAATAATCAATACAGATTTTTCTACTATAGAAACTTGCTTATATGATAGAATAATTTAACTTTCAGATAGAAAAAGATTTGTTGCAATTAGCTTAACATTAACTCAATGATAGGATAGCCTATCTAGCACTCTATGTAGCACTGCACTCTGGTGGAGAAAATCTATTTTCTGGCAAAATTTTTAACAATAGAAAACTTGTGTAAGGTCGTGACTGAGTAATGTATGTTGCCTTGGTTTATTAACCTGATACTCACTTTGGATTTATTAGATTAAGTTCTTGATTTAATTTGATATAAGTTGATAAAATTCTTTAAGTTCCTGTGAAGCTTTTTATTAAGAAAACAAAAAATTTTTCCTAGAAAGTTTTCAATTTATTTATTTTATATGCTATTCTATGTTGAGAATGAACAAAATATAATCTAATATCGATGATAAGCTTTTTTATATTAGAAATTTCATTTAAAATTTAGACAATATCTTCAGCAAGCAGAGAGTTGTCAGAAATTAGAGAAGCTTCTGTAGAAAAGAGAGTTTATTTCCCAGAAATGCACAAAACTCAGATGGAAGAGACATGGAAAGACATCATTGAAAAAAGAATTGCCAAAAAAACTAGAATACTTAGCAAGGTAAAAAATAACATTCTGAAAACTGTAAAATTCTAATGCAAATATAAAAGGACTGAAATAATTTAGGGAAGAAAAGAAGTAAAAGCAAAAGAGAATAAATTTTCTTCAGTTGCAGGCCACTTCTTTTTTCCTTTACTTGCACAGTTTGACAGGTAAAAATATTTTTTGTTTATTATTATTTGAATAAAAGAAAAAATTATTCAAACAAACTTTTTTAGAACTGAAAACACTTACAATTTACTTGGAGATGACAGCTTCCTTCTAGGCCATTTAATATATACATTAGGCATTGTCATGAACTGTGCAATAAATACACCAGTAAGTTGATTTTTTTTATTCCTATCCCGTAAATTATATTTTAATCATCATTTTTAAACCTCTATTAGATAGCATTTCAAATGGGAAAATGTTTCCTGGAATTTATTTGGGTGCTTAAGTATCATGGTGACAGGTAAGTTTTGCCAATGTTTGTTGATGGCATTTTTTTAGTGAAATATTTTGTAGAGCCAAAAATAAACCAAACTTTTGATATTGCAAGTACATGCTTGTTGATACTTATTCAACACATGATTGATGTTTTATGTTCTAATCCATCTGAATAAAGACATAGCAAAGAATAAGTATGTAAGTGGAGTATTTCAGAATTCTGAAATGACACATAACAAGCAATGAATCAACATTAAATTTGGTGTCATGCACACAAGTGTACAATGGCAAACATTTTAAAGGTTATGAATCAACAGATGATCATTATCTAGACAGGAAAATTAGGCAAGAGAGACTACATATCATCTGATCATCATTTTGGAAATTTCACATGGCTGCACATAACTTCCTTGAAACAATATGAAAGCAGATAAAAAATGTAAAGAATGTACCCTCATCAGCATAGAATAGGTTAATCTATTCTGTGCTGATTGAGATATTTTGGTCTTAGTCAATGGTGATTATTGGTGACAAAAATTGGTTTTTCTTATATGACCAACAGATGAGCCTGGCATTGCCTGGACAAAAAACAACACCAAAGATTAAGATTATTAGATTATTTCATACTTCTAATCCTTCTAGTAGCCTGGGACACATTCTATCAGCAGCAGTGTCATTCCGTAATATATTCCTATTGGAAATAAAAATAATAATATACTGAATTTCTCATCGCATACACTACTGAAACGCAGCCAAAAATGCATAAAACCGCTTCAAGTAATAATATACTGAATTTATTGTTAATTTAAATAATAGCTAGGGGTGCCCCTAGTGGCCATTTTTGGCATACAGTGACTGAAAGAAAGAATCAGTTTGGTTTTTCAGCTTTATATAGTTAGATCTGTAGAGCAAATGCAGTTCATTTGTCTCTGTTGAGACAAAATATTTTCTGTAATGTTTGACATTTTTTGATACATAAAGTCTAGTGTATTGTGGGCTAAGTGCTGTTTTTGTCGTGGATGTGCATCCAAAAAGAAAGACAGGACTGTGACAGCCATCTATTAGTTTGAAACTTGTATTTGGAATTTTACAGTTTATTAATACAACTGGAATAATTACAGGTCAGTTTATGCTGACCTTGATAAAATTGAAAGGGATTTTTTTAATAAAGATCGAAGTTTCAGATTTGGAATCAGTGAACCTATAGTTTTCAGGATATTTCACAACTGGCTTAATTATAGTATTGTACTAAAGATTACAGTTTAAATATCTGGCAAGTTTTTTTTAAGACCCAATGTTATTCAATAATGCATCTGGAAGGATTCATTCATTTTTATTAATCTCTAAAAATCACCAATGATTTATGATTTGCACTTTTATGGCTAACCGGAAATCTGATTCTCATGTTATTGAAAAATTCCACTGATGTTTGCTTGGGTGAAAATTTTGCTCAATAATAGATTCCAATAGATTATCCTTGTCAAGTCTTAGGCACAGAACTTATTTTTAAAAGTGGAAGTTGCTTCTTTGCACACTTAACAGTTAATTAAACCTGGAACATTACAAGCAGTCTCCTGAAGATTTTCCATGTATGCCATATCCATCACGTCAACTGCCACTCCATACTTGTTAATATAAACAAGATATTCCTAATATGCTATACTCCTATACCTAGATTTGCAGGTTTTACACTAGATGTAAGGAGTGCCCTTGTCTGATCAGGCGTATCTTCCTTTTTTTTTACTATACACCAGAACCATGAAAGTTGGTTTGGGAGCACAATTGCTGGCTCTAATGGCTTTATGCCTTTATGCCTTTCTTTAGTATTTCACTATAAGTTGAAGTTTCCAGTGCTTTCCCACTCTGGGGGGGGCAGATTGCATGATCTTACTAATATCACAAACTTCCTCTTTGACTTTCATTATTGCCTCAATCATCTTATCACTATGAATAGAAATTGCCTTTTCTAACTCCTCTTTAGTAATAAACAATGATAATCTTTTATCTAATACTTCAGGTAATCTATTACCCTTGATGATTGTCTCAGTGAGATCTATAAACTTTATAACCTGCTCGGTAACATATCTTAAGTGATCATGTGTGTCCAACCTGCTCTTGGGGTTTTCTGTGAAGTATTTCTTAATTTCATCTAATATTGTATAGGCCTCTTTCAAAAAGTCCTTTGCAAATCACAGATGGTGAACTTAGAACAACTAGCTATTAAGTTTGTAAATTTGGAATGCAGACAGAACAAATGTATTCACAATGTAAATATTGTAGTAAAACTGATTTTAAAAACTAGGTCAAACCGTAAGCAAGTGTCTGTTAGAACTGCCCAGACGAGACGGTGGCAACCAGCTCCAGATGGTGAACTTGTATCTTAATTAGTTTTTAAATTATGATATTTTCCTGCCAATTTTGAGACATTACTGACTCTACTTGACGATGATCTAAATGATTTTCCACAATAGAACACCGGATGCCTGGGAAGGCCCACCAAAGACCAACTGGAAGTACAACTGAAACCTCCAAAATCTCACAGACTAATGGGCCTTAGCCATAAATTTTAATGTTTTACTCACAGTTAGAACCTGATTCAGAACCCAGTCCCAATTCTGGTTCATCAATCTTCAAAAGTTCAGTAAAACAATCTGAAGTTTCTCGGAATATCAAAAGCCGTAATTTCCCAAATACTGGTCCCACAAAGAAAATTTTGACCTCACTGCAATTCTTAAGACTTGTGCCATTTATATTTGGATACAGCCACACTCACAAACACAATAATCCCCAAAAAAAACACCACGAATCACGGAGCTCTATGCGAACATGGTATCACAGATACCATGTTCGCATAGAGTCAACTCCTGTTGAAAATTCTGGAAGGATTATTTGAAAATATTAAACTTTTATATACTTGTGAGCACTATGTTGGCCTTTCTTTATTGCTAGACTTCAGCTGGGACACAAGACCAGCTTTAGAAAATCACTTTATTTTTCCAAAAAAGAATGCATTAAGTGAGTTTCTAAAGCTGGTCTTGTGTCCAGTGATGGTGTAATAAGTCTAGCAATAAAGAAAGGATAACATAGTGCTCACAAGTATATACCAAGACTAGATAAGAAATGTATCATAGTAAATTTTTATATGCTTTAAAAATTTCTTATCTGTAGTTAGGTATATGCAGTTTGCATGAGAGGAATCCAAATGTCTCAAAATCATGTGGTCCAATTTTTAACTGTTTAAAAATGTTATATTTGATGTATTCATTTAATGGATCTGAAAACTCCAAATCTTTCATTTTGTTTCAATATCCAACAAATTAAAATAATTTCCAGGCATCATTTAATTACAAGTAACCAGAAACACAAAACAGAAGGTCAAGCATGTCTTTCATACTGAGTATGTGCATGTTTTCGTTTATCCAAGAATACAGTCTATAACTGCATTAAATGCTTATTTTGAAGGTAATCTTCTGTGGATACTTTAATAATACAAGTTTGGTTTATTTTTGACTATTTGTAGCATACTTACAAGTCAGAATAATTTATTCTTTTTCTGGATGCAGATTTGTTCAGAAAGCTTTACTGTTTGCATTATGTATGGTCATAACAACGGTTCCTTCTCACTTCCTGCTCTTAGATCTGCAAAATGATATGATCGAGTGCCAACAATGGTTACAAGGTAAGTAAAATGATAATGCATAGAAATGAATAAATTCTTTTGTTTCTTGATAGGTTCAGCATATGCCACAAAGGTTTTTGGCAATTCTATAATACATGAAAATGTAAATTTGTTGGAAGTAGCAGAATGTATGGATGGTTTCCCAAAACTTTAAGTTTGATGTCATCATTTGATAAATTATTTTTATTTATCAAATGATGGGATCAAATGATATAAATGCTTTAAAAACAAAATGTATTTTTCATCCCATCATGAAGACAATGCTACTCAATTGTATGGTAAGCGTAAAAACAGATTGAATAAATTTGTGGATTAGGGAAGAAAAGAACCAAAAGATGGAATATCCTTACATTTTATATTAGTTTATGTGTAGATAAATAAATACAACCCATTAAGAGATGGGCAACCTCTCTGAATTTTAAATGTGATCCATACAAATTGACAATGACCGAACACAAGAAAATGCAGGTAATAATTTATGAATAAATAACAGGTATACTTAATATGACTTTTGGAATTGATATTAATATATCCAAAATATTATGTTGAATATTAATCACTGCTAGTTTTAAATTATTTTTGAAATCTGTCTCCAGTAGAAAAAATTGTTGTTAAGTTGCAGAGAAAATCACTCAATCAATTTCCCATTTTCTATATTTACTGAGAAGGTGCTGTAAAAATCTGTATGTTGTTTTCTCAGTTAAGGAACTCTTCAAATCTATTTTTAAATTTCCATTATAGTTCAACTTTTTGTGTCATTTTTAAAGTTGAAAAAAATGACAAGTTTTGTCATGCAATTGCATAACAAAACTTGTCACTTTTCAAGTATTTATTATCCAAATATAAGCTCAGTAAAGTATTTATTATCCAAATATAAGCTCAAATTATGGAGCTGCATGCTCCATAATTTGAGCTTGGATATGAATGATTTTATAAATGTTACACATGTGATGTGATTAGATTTTATATTTAAATCTTACAAATTTGTTGTAATAGCAACTACACTGGAGGGCAAAAGTTAAATTACAAGTGTTTTGTTTTTTTTTATTCTTAATTTAAAATAAAATAGAAACTTTATTAAAATAAATTTATTCACTCAATTGGCATGTGACCACCCCTTACAGCAATACATGCTAGATACCTGCTTCTCATACTCTTTACAAGGTTATTGATCAATTCATTAGGAATTAAAGTCCATTCTATTTGCAGAGCAGTCCTGAGCTCATCAGAGTTTCTGGGTGGGGGACAGAGACTTTCCACCCATCTTCCAAGGGCATCCCAAGCATGCTCTATCGGGTTCAAATCTGGAGACCTGGATGGCCAGTCCATTCTTTGGATTCCAATGTCTTGAAGATAATGAGTCACCAAGTTTGCTCTTTGGAGATGAGCATTATCATCCATTAAAATGGAATCTGTGCCTTCCGTGTGAGCCATTGTACGATAATGCTCAAGGATCTCGTTGCAATACCTTTGACCTGTTAAGGAACCTCCTTCAAAGACATGGGGAGCTTGGTGCACCCAGTGAGAGAGATGCCTGCCCAGACCATCACACCACCTCTGCCGAAGTTGCCTTTTTCTCTTATGTTTGATGACGTGTATCGTGTTCCAGCCTCTCTCCAAATAAAGCATCATCGAGAATCACTCTGTAGGCTAAAGCAGGATTCATCTGTGAAGAGAACTTTGCTCTTGATGTTGACAACTCCAATTCAAGCGTGCTTTTTTGTGGAACAGTGACAATGGAATACACATAACTGGACATCTTGCATAAAGACCAGCAGCAGCAAGCCTTCTGGATACAGTTCTGAAGAAATTTTTTCCTGTGGCTGATTCAAGCTCAGAAGCAAACATCTTGCATGTTAGTCCTCTATTGTGTTTAGCAGTTACTTTCAAAAACCGGTTATCTTGTGTTATGGTAACTCTTGGATGTCCTTCCACGGGAATTCTGGAAATATCCCCTCTAACTGTAAACTGTTTCCAGAGCTGTGAAACCACCATTCTTGAAACTTTTGCGGCACCTTGCTGCATCAGCTTGACTAAGTCCCATTTCTATCCATCCAATAGCATGCCATCTTAAAGAATCATCTAGAAGCCATTAGAATGGTAAATGAATATGCCTTAATTTTAAAAAAAGCAGTTTAAATAAAGTTTGATTACAAAAAAACAGCAAAGTCAAAGGAGCATTCTAACCAGCAAACCACTAATGGTTGAATTAAATGTACGTAATTTGCATATTTACAAGATATTTTGCTATTTTCTTATTCGTCATGTAAATTTGCATATATGTCTACATTTTCAAAATATTTCAAAAGTTATGAGGCAAAACCTACTTGTAACTTAACTTTTGCTCTCCAGTATATTTATGGAAATGAAAGGAAAACCAGTTTGTTTATTTTACAATCTCTTATCAGAAATGAAATTATGACAATATCAGATAAAAATTCACTGTAGATACTATAATATCCATAACATGTTCCCTTTTAATTTCTTTAGTGTAAAAATTCTCCACATGCAAAACATAACAGCAGATAAATGAAATTTCAATACTAATTAAACTGCAGCACTCTGTTTTAGTATTCTCTTCAATAAATTAGCACAAAATGAATATGCAAGTGATTTATTTTTGTTCTAGTGTGTTTCTTCTAAAGCATTGTACATAATTTCTCCTGCAGTATTTCATTTTAGCCCAACTAAATTAAAAATCTTTATTAATGTCTCAAATGGAAATTGAAGTTGAGCTGTATGTTATGTTGGTGAATATTTTGTCTCAAACAGAGAGCAAAAACTTTAAAGAAAAGGAAAAATATTCAAATGATTTTTTAACATTACTTGCTATTTCATCAATTCTCACTACAATTTGCCAACAAACTAATATTAGCATAGAGCTGCTTCTGATCAGGACATATAATCTGAATAGCTTTTAATTGTTTTTTCTAATGAGATGCTAATAGATTGTCAATTTGCTGGGAGGTTATAGCTTTTCCACTCTCTCTTTTAATTCTCCAGTAAACTGGTCATATTTATTGGAATGTTAGTGTTGTAGTGCCTTTTAAACACTGTATTCCTTAAAAACTTCATAACAGTGTGGATTATAGAAAAAGGTAATTTGCAAACAAGTCGAGAAACTATTATATACAGCTCTATATCATAAATTGCACTTCATAGAAACTTTTTAAATATTTTACTAAGTGTTGAGTGAAGTCAGGTTAAACTCACTGTCTTCTGTCTGGCATTCATTTTCATATCTAACTCCAATGTGGAAAGATTAGTTAATTGGGGCCTCTTGCCCTTATATACAAACTGAATTAACATGACTTCCATCATGCTATTTCAATTCAAAAATTTTCCCCTGAAAGGAGTTAGCAATAGTCATTCCAGTCATCTACCTAAGGAAATATGATGTACAGGGGCAAGACACTATTAATTTGAGATGGATATATTTATTTAATTTAAAATATATGCTGATTAAAAATTGTAGCTTGGCATTGTGATGATAATACAAAAAAAATACAAGCATTTATTTGTAATGTTTTACTTCAGGTGTAGACAATCCTCACAGAGGTTTAAATGCTTTAATTCTTCATATTATTTGTCAAATTTTACACCAAGTGATCAAATTATTACTATGTTGTTGAGCCACCTTTTTTCCCTGTAATACCAGCATCTAACTGAATAATCTATACCAAGATGAATTACACTCTCAAAATCTGGATCAGATGTGATTGATGCTCAGTTGGATCGAGATGTAGCAAGAAGTTTCTGTTCATGATTTGTTTGTGGAGGAGAATTATCCTTCACCATTCATATAAACCATCAGCATAACTGAGTGGACTAACAAAGTGTAAACATTTTCTTACAACTGATCAACAAATTATTTCTGATATTTATACACTGTGTATAAATATCAGAAATAATTTGTTGATTAGTTGTAAGAAAATATAATATATTTAGTTCATTGTAATAAATAAGAGTTTTTATCAAAAATTTGTTTTTATTTTGCAAAAAACCTTTACGTGATGGGATGTAATGGAATTTATTTTTAGAATCTGCGATCTTTAAAACATATAATTCCATGCAGCTGAAAAAAGTTTTTTGCAGACCCATTTTATTTATTATTTCCATCTTTGGTTGATGCCAGCAATCATCTAGTGGTGACATTCAGCTCTCAAACATATATGGAAACACACATTCTAGAATATGTTTTTCAGGAAAAGAATAGCTGCGATGAATTCAATAATGACCCTTTTTATATATTTTGTAAAAATTTAATATAAGGTGAAAGATCTAAAATCAATAGTCAGGTGATTTCTAGAACCAGATATTGAATAATGTTCATTACAAGAATTCTTTAATTAAAAACATATGAAAGAACAATAAATATTTGAAATGGAAATCTTTTTAGATGTCTTAACATTGAATATACCCGGAGAGAAGTGCATAGAACAATAAAATTTTTACATTGTTGTACCACTTCCTTATTTCTCTTCATTTCCTAGCATTTGACTTAGAATATCTACATTATTAATGATTGTAGATTTTTGTCACATTGGTACAATATGAATATAATAATTTTGTAACTGCCGCTCAAAATGAGGATTCCTTGATTGCTTTTTATCATCTCCCATGTATAATTATGAGTTAATATTGAAAGTAACACAAAATAATACTTTGAATTTGACTGAAAGTTGGATTGCACACTAAAGACCTGTTGGTCAGGCCTTTAATGTGCTGAAAACATTAAATCAAATATAAATTAAACTAACAAGATCTGTATTTTCAGATATTATTTATAAAGACGATGACTTGGATTTCAAGAAACTTGCCAGACAGGTTCTAGGATTTTTGGTAACAATTTATAAAGAGGTATGAGTAGGTTTATATCTTTGGTCAATTATTATATTTTTAAATGTCTTATTTGTCTTTCAGGGTGAACTGTCATGAAAATCTGTATCGTAAATAATGATGTAGAAAGATTCTTGTAAATACATTTATTGGTCATAAAAATGTATAAATGAGTGACATTTTCATTACTTTGATATAAATAATCATGTACAATGGAAAATTAGTAATTAAATACAGAAAATTCCGACATGCATCGATCGGTAATGTCCACGCGCCAAAGCAGATTCGCTTTCTCTTAAAAAATGCAACGAATGATTGGTCCCCGTAACTGGTTCATTCTTCTAGTTTTCGGGACATATAAAAAAAGCAACTTTTACGAGTACAAAGAATTTTTTGAGCACGAAACGACATCGAACTCCGACTTCCTCTGTCAGAGACCCAGAGAGCCCAGAGGCAGGCTCCGATTACAAAGATGATAGTAACGGAGGTCATTAATGAATCTGTGCAAGATCTGAGTGAAAGTCGGCAAATCCTGCAGGAAAACAAGGGAATTGTAATTTCTAGCGATGCAAAACTGTTCAAAAGAAAGTGACAGACTCACCTTTTCGTATTTGAAATTTTGACCCAGTATGGACTTCTGGCTATTATCTAACCCAGAGCAATTTTCTAAAAAGTGTGGAAGAAACACTGTGTAAAAATTTTCAAAATTCACCGAAGCCATGTTATAGATAGTGATGCAGATGTCGTCATAGAGTAGTTCGTGCGATTTATATATAAGAGCTTGAAGCAACACGTTGAGGAACTGATTTATCATTAGGTTCTTAAACAAGGTCTGCGAGGAAATTTATTTTTTCAATAACAACATTAATAAAATTCAATAAAATAATCTAAAAGATACCTTATGATATAATTTCCATTTATTATTAAGATTCTCCAATGCCTGAAGATTCTGTCGAAACAGCGTGATATCGTGCTGAAGGAATGTTTGTCCGTAAGCCTTAAAAAATAAACACAGTAAATATGGACTCTCTAGATGATAGGAATCAAATGAAATCAATCAAAATTTTACCTCCATTATTTTAGTGAAGTAGTCAATGTTCTCTATGGTGTCGTTTCCAGGTCGACTCAAATTGGAAACAATGTCGCTCTTGAAGAAAAATCTCCAGTTGTTAACTAGGATTTGATATAACAATTCAAAAAGAACCTGCTTGATCTCAAAAGATTGAGACTGCAATGAAAAATGGAATAAAATCAGATATTGAGGAACACTGTGGAGTTAAAATAATCTACTACTCACATCAGCCACAATGGGATATATATCGTTCATGCAAAAATTTAAAATGCTAATAAGGAATGATCTGAAACCAGGAACTGGATCTTTAACAATCTGTTGTAGAACTTCTAAGAATCTAAAAAAAGTATTTTGTCCATTAATTTGTTTTATATGTATATAAAATTTGTACAAATAGAAGTTTAAAAATTACTTTTCTACAACGTGACACCCTGCACTCCCCTCTCTCAAAATGCAATCTGTCAGCTGGTCTCTGTGGGGTATTAATATTTGAAACAATTTGATTGTTATTCTATTTGAAAGAGACCAATTAAACTATTTACCTCGTAAATAAACTGAGAAATTTCTGAATGGTCTGTTCGACAAAAGCAATTCCCATTTGACTCTTAAAAACTTTCAATGCCATCAGAAAAAAATCTAAAATATCTTCACCGACATCTGTTACAAATGATAGTCGATTAATATTTCAAAAAACATCACTTATTTTGTACACAAAATGAAACTGACCTGGAAAGTTTAAATATATTGGAACCAAAGAAACTGCAATTTCTATGTTTTCTTGAAGAGCTTTGAAGCACAATTGCTTCGTCTTAGTTGTGGCTTCTAAGAAATTCACAATCATGTCGTGAAGAAGACTGATAGTCCATTTGATGACTGGTTTGGCTACAAAAAGAAAATCTGTAATTCTGCCTTTTATCTTTGTTCCATTACCAAAATAAGAGAAAAAAGGATACCTTGTTCTTGAACGTATTTGTCGATGCTAAAATTTGGCGCATGTTGTATTTGTCTGAATGATGACGTGATCGATTTCACAAACTCTTCAAAACGCGAGTATCTGCTTTCCCACTGTTGCTCATCATTAGATACATTTGGCCAGGGTAAGAGTAAGATGTTGGAAATGGAACGGTGAACAAGTTTCTGGCTCTAATAAAAAAATTGTTTAAATTAGCATTATGGTAAAACCCTTTTAAGTTGACCACTGCATGAAGTGATTTGGATATGGAGGCAAAGTGTTACATGTGAGCATGAGTGCATACAGGACTAAACTGTGGAAAAAATATCTTTTATATTTTTACGCCACTAATTTACAATAATGTGATAAAATATTTTTGCAAGTGTTATGTAACTTTTGTTCAAAATATTAATTTCTGGTATGTAGATAGGTACTGTACAATACTATATGCCTTGTAATAAAACTCATTCTTTAAATACATATTTTTTCAGAAATTTTATATTGTGTGTGCTGAAATTGTCACTCTGGAAAATTTTTTTCCAATAGTTCAGTTGAATGCATTCCTGCATATGATAAACTGCTTTACTGATCTTTGAATTTATTTTGTTGTTTCAAATTCATCAACACACTCACTGCAACCAAACATTAAATTCTTCCTTGGTAGTTAATAAAGATTTTTGTAGTAGAGAGACAATAATTGACTTGTCAAATTTCTATTTCAGAAACATTACCATAAACACTACAAACTGTTTTTAAAAAAACATGATAACTACTAAGCAGTTACTGTTATTGAAAACAGGATTATATACAATCGACCCCCCTATAATTACGATTCCTATAAAACTACGAAAAAATATACGTATTTTGGAAATGTTGAGTCGGATTAGTGTAGAATCGATTAATTTTATGGAAGAAAACCTTTCAATCAGCCGTAGTCCGTAAACTTGACACGTGTCGGGCTGTGATTGGAACGACTTGTAAAAAATCGGATTCCTAATAAATTGGAACGTATCTATATCTTATAGGGGGGGTCGACTGTAGTTGCAAAAACTGTTTAAACTTGTCTTTTACCTACATGTGACCAACTTAGACAGGAAATTTTATAATAGGCTGACTTATTGTATGGTGGTCAAAATATAAGATTTACTTGTGTTGTCCAGTTGTCTGTGTTAATGCATTTCCTTAGTCACACTTCACAAATTTTAATATAATTTGCTAAAATAACACAAAACTTAGACTTACCTCTAATGGAAGATTCAATTTTCCTTGGCAAACAATGGCATACAATTGTTGAATTGACTCCAAGTTGCAGAGAAATGAAGGACGAATCACTGAAGTTACAGATTTCAGCAAGTGGCAGGCACTGTGTGCAATTTTTTCTGGTACCTATTAAAGTGATATCTTATATGTATTATATCAAATTTAAAATATTCATAGTAGTACAGTCAGTCCCTTTTATGGCCAGAAAATCTCCTAGGAAGCATTCAGGACCATTGTAAACTGTTTCAATAAACCACTGCCACCTCCTCACACACTATCATCTGCTAATGTTTTACAATGTCTGATACAGGTTTCTCTGAAAGGGAAACCTGTAAACTGTATTGGAAACTCTTCAGCCTTATTCTCAACTTCTATCAGCTTGCAAATAGAAAAAAATGATTCTTTCTTGTGGGGGAACTTCAAAAAAATTGAAAATACCAATATAACATATGATATTACAAAGAATTTGATTCATTATGATTTGTTAAAACAAGAAACAACATTATGTAAATAAAAAGGAAGAAATCTGCTTGTATAGTGATAACCACCCTGTTGTGAGATATTTTTCAATGATATGGAGTAAATAAATCTGTTAAGTTAGTAGACATACTATGGAAAACAATTTAAGCCAAATATCAAAATGTATGGATGCTGAGAAAGAAATTCAAGTGAAAAGAGAGCATGAAGAAATGGAAAATGCAATAGTGATGTGGATTGTATTGGGTTGTTCGGAAAGTAATTTCGTTTTTTTACCACTAGATGGATTAGTCGTATTTTTCCCGCAATTTTCATTCTAAACCGTATTATCATTATATATTTTGACAGCTAGCATTTTAAGGCTTATTTGTAAAAAAATTTGTTTGATTTTGTGCAATTGTTTGTTCCATATTTGATGGGACACAAAAAGAAAGATCGCAAACAGCATTTTCAGCATATTTTGCTCTTTTATTACCGAAAAGGTAAGAATGCTGTTCAAGCAAGAAAAAAATTGTGACATGTATGGAGAAGATGTATTGACAGTGCCAAAACTGGTTTACAAAATTTCGTTCTGGCAATTTCAATATTGAAGATGCACCATGTTCTGGATGGCCAGTTGAAGCCAATGAAAACAAATTAAAGATACTGATTGAAGCAAACTGCCGAATAACAACACTTCCATGTTTTGAAACTGTGTCGTATCTATTACATTTGTTCTATAAACACAATATAGTGCAATAACAATCACTTGGCACAATTCACTTTCTTTATTTCAATTCTGTTGATACACATTTTTACACGTTTCGGGCCCGAAACATGTGTAAAAATGCATATCAACAGAAATTTAATTAAATCATTCTAAACTTCTATTTGAGGGATTTGACATCAGTAAAATTTTTTAAAACACTATTGGATGTTTTTTTATGACATCAGCAAGTTTTTTGTTTTTTATTCAGTAGAATTTTTACTTTTTTTCTGTCCCCCATATTTTAATACATACATACATACATACAAGAAAGACTTCTGCCTTACATCAGGTGTTTAGCCAGTGGGAAAGGGGAGGGGAAGAAGAAGGGAAAGGAGATAGATAGTAGAGAAAGATAGGATCCTTTCTGAATGGCGTATGTATGGCTACAGTACCCTCTATGTTTGATGTTGGCATGCAGTTTTTAGGCTGCAAGGCTGTAGTCCCCGAAGAGTCTAAAAGAAAACCTGAGTGTAGCAAACACCAATGATTCAGTGCCGCCACAAATAGCTAAGTGTGGGGAAGTTAGTGCCAAGTGNATGTATGGCTACAGTACCCTCTATGTTTGATGTTGGCATGCAGTTTTTAGGCTGCAAGGCTGTAGTCCCCGAAGAGTCTAAAAGAAAACCTGAGTGTAGCAAACACCAATGATTCAGTGCCGCCACAAATAGCTAAGTGTGGGGAAGTTAGTGCCAAGTGACTGTTAGTAGGAAGACTTATAACTACTTAGACAGAGAAAAAAAAAAAACACAACAACAAACTAGACGAGACAAATGGATGGACAAACATGCAAGACTCCCTTTTTTTTTAATTTTAATTATTATTTATTTATTTTTTTTAAACATTAACTTATTCACTAACTAAATTAACCTACTATAAGCTAGGACAAACCTAACCAGAAACCAAGCTAAGAGTCCCTAATCTAACTTACAACTACAACTTAAACTAACTGAATTTAGACTGAAAAGAAGATGGAATTAAGAATTAAAATACAAAGTGGAAAGCAACTATATACTGACAGTTGAAACAAGCAAGGGAAAGCTAATTGCCATTTGTGACCCCAGAGTAAGTGCTCTCAAAGGTCCAACTAAGGGATATAAATGCGAGTAGATGATGGCACATTGTACATGTGTGAATAAGTTGATGTGGGTTGCAAGGCCAGTTGTACCCTTCAAGAATAGCAGCTCTCATTAAACTATCCCTAATGTGATTGTATCTATTGCAGGGAAAAACTAGGTGAAGTGGTGTTTGGTCTTCCTGAATACCACAATCACATTGTGGATTGTCCCCAAAGTTAAATCTATGCAAGTATTGCTTAAAGTTGCCATGTCCTGTAAGTAGCTGAGTGAGGATGTAACTAGGGTGAAAGTGGCAAAGAATTGCAGTAGTGTCAACCTTGGGGATGAAAGTGTAGGTGAGCCTACTAGTGGTGTCATGGTCCCAGCTGTCTTGCCAGAGAATGAAGATTTGCTTCTTGACGTGATTGTTGATGTACGAGGTAGGAATGTAATTGAAAGTACTAGTGACTGAAGACTTTGCAGCTTGTCTGGCATGACGGTCAGCGGTCTCGTTGCCAAGAACCCCTGCATGACCTGGTACCCATTGGAAATCTATTCTAATGTTGTTGTCTAAGTGTCTAAGAACATGGTGTATGAGATGGACGAGTTTTAATTGGCTATCAGACTTCACAATTCTGTGTAAAGCTCCTCTACTGTCAGAATAAATGCAATAGTGTAAGTACTGTAGTGTCTTTTGTCCTTCCTATGCCTAATGTGAATTAAGCTCATATAAATAGCTAAAGTTTCTGCCTGTGCTATTGAGCAGTGTGTACTTATATGGAAGCAAGCATTACGGAGCTTGTGGCCTAAGTTGGAGTAAACTACAAAAGCAGCATTCACATTGTCACCCATCTTGGAACCATCACACAGTGGGGCCAAATTCCAAAAAGCTGGCCAAAAGTCAAAAGCGTTATCAATTTGGCTGAAAGTCAGTATTCGAGGATTTTCGGGATCGCTGATTACGAATCTGAAGTCAAAATTTGAAATAAAAACAAAATGACAGATTTAACACGAACCACTTTTATAGAAAAAGTACAAAATAAATCCATATATTGTTTAATATGATAAAACATACAATTGGTTGATTAAAAGTTCATGCATCATCATCCAAAGAATAATTTGATTCACAATCAGATGATTCAACTTTGAAATCACTGGAGCTTCCTGTACTTGCTGGTATATCTGTTCGGCGGTTTAGACATGAAAAGGTGACAGACAGACAGAATTATCTTCAAATTTATAATATTAGTATGGATTAATATGAATTTCTGCTATAAGGGGTATGCGAGTTTGAGCTCTTTCTTGAAGTGTTACACAGGAAAAAGTAATTGGGAACCACTGTTCTACACTATTAAACTTGTATGGGATGAAATGACATAGGAAAGTATTAAAAACTGTCAGCCATACACTGACCTAATACGAAACTAAGAACAATTTGTTTGTCCATACCATAAACATCCAGAGCAAGTAATGCCTTGCCTCGATAATATCACTTCCACACCACAACTAGGACCAGATGAGTTGGTATGCATTGATGCTAATAAAGCTTTTTCCAAAATAATGCTCAAGGAAATTGTGCAAATGATGAGAAAAGAACACACATAGAAAGAAAAAATGAGGACAAAGAGAAAATGGAATAAATTGTTATAGCAAGCTCAATATGCATGAAAAAAATTGACAACACAGTAATATCTCAACTTACACTACCCCAGAGTTACACGCTTTTCAAATCTCATCGATTTGTCTTTTGTTTGAGCACCACGCAACTCTTGATTAGTCACTACCCCCTCACTTGTTCAGCTTACATGTTTGGACGTGTCATGCGAATTGACATATAGCTAAAATTTATTTTGTGTTATTTATTTCTGTGTTTGTTATATCTACAGAGATTTGAGAAACTCTATTATGTCATCTAAACGAAGTAGAACTGATTCTTCTTCAAACAAGAAAAGAAAAACTTTATCTTTGGAATGTAAAGTTAACATTATTAAAGACTTCAATACAAAAATGAAAATTTGTGAATTGGCAAAGAAGTTTGATCTACTGGAATCGACGGTCAGAACAATTATAAAAGATAAATAAAAAATTCTTGAAGCTGTAAAAAATGCTCAATCTTTAAATTCAAGCATCATTCGTAAACGTCACAGTATTATCGCTGAG